AAAGAATAAGGGCATCACAGCTAACAGCCTCATGACAATAGCAAAACCTCCAAAGTTACTACTGGAAACACTTCAGGATGCAATCTGATGGCAATTTTGTTGGCCTGGTGGTAATCGCAAGTTGTATTTCCCAGCATTTCCCATGTTTTCAAAAGCTGAAAACATCAGAGCTGTGAAGTAAAGGCTGTGAGTTGCATTGTAGCAAGTCATTCATTTTACCAAATGACTTCTATAGATGTGGGCATAGCAGAGCAAGATCAGGACTGGCTTAGTATAATAAGGTCCAATTCTAAAGTTCTTACTCTTGGATAAAACTCGGAGTAAGTTTTTTTGAATAAGGAGTCAAGGCCGTGGTGTCTCCCTCACCCACCAACAGGGAATCAAAATGTGTCCAAACTGGTCTGCTGGGGAGCTGGTCCTGGACATTCCCCCACAAATGAGTATCTTACTCCAGGTATCAGTATCTGCACATAAAAAACACATGGGGACTTTGTACCCCTGTCAAACTTTTATTCACAGGGGTAAACTCTCTAAGCATAGTCCCATATACCTGTAATTTCTCCTCCTCATTCTGAGGAATGGGTAGGAGAGAAGGACCCATGTTATTCAGCAGCTGTGGAGACTGGGACAATTGGTCCAATGGGTCACAAAAAACCTGTAGATTAAGAGTTGGGGTCTGTAGTCTCATTCACTAGGCTAAAAATCTTGCCTTCCCAGCAGAAGACAGAGAAGGGGAATTCAGAAACTTCTCCTTTGTGTGGGGATAGCGCTGCGTAGATAAGGATGGAGTTCTAATTAGGGACCTTGGCATTTGGTCCTTCTTGATCAAATCTGTGTTTTGACTGAGACCAACTTGGAGTGCTTCAGGCAACCCTGGCCTGGTTTTTATAAGTGGTGATGTCAATGAAAAAGCAGGTAACCACCTCTCCCTCCCCCCAAATAAGGCAAGAATCTAGTTTATTCCTAAAACCACAGTTCTGGAGTTTATCCTGGTGTAAGATAAATTTAGAGCAGTGGTTCTCAACCGTTCTTTTTTTTTTTTTAGATTCAGGGCATTCCTTGGACAATGCCCAGCTTTTCATTTTCACCTTTTTCTTTGACTATAGAAAAATAATGGAGCAATACTTCTGTGGCAAAGGACTCAGGAAGACCAAAACAGCTCAGAATACTTCCTATATGAAATGTCTGGGTTTATCTTGTGAATAACGCTTGCATATATAACATTGCTAATCTGTAGCACCCCAGAGCACCCTTAAAAGCATCTCAAGGCACCTCAGGGTGCTGTGGTACCTAGGTTGAAAAAAAATCACTGATTTAGACTGTTTGTTTGATTTATTACTGTTAAAATTGATCTCCATTAATAATGGCCAATCACCTGCGTAAGTAATGGAGTAATTGCTAGAAGTGCAACTTGTACAAAATTAATTCGCACTGTTGGCAGGCATCTTTCTGCATTAGACCAGGGGTGCTCAACCTCTGGCCTGCAGGGCATGAGGCCTGTGCAGCCTTGGAATCCAGCTTATGGGCCTCCCCAAGGGCTGGGAAATGTGGCTGTAGGGGAGCAGTAGCTGTTAATACCATCACCCTTCCTTGCTGCCAAAATCCCAAGCCCCTCTCAATGGGTTGGAGTCAGGCCATGCCCCATTCCCTCCATGTGGCTGGGTTGGGCCAGTCAATGCCCCCCTCCTCCCCCCCCAGCTGATTCAGGGGTGGCCCCCATACCCCTTTCTCTCCCTCCCAACATGCCTGAGCCATACCATGCCCCCTCCCCCACCCCTGCATAGCTGGATCAGGGCTGGGTCATGCTCCCTCCCCCCATGCAGGACCAAGTTGGGGGTGGACAAACCCCCTTTCCCCCACATGCCTGGATTGGGTTCTGCCACACCTATTCTGGGTTCTGGATTGGGTCCACCAGCCCACGCAGGGACTGGGCACTGCCCATCCAGCTTGCTGGACAAAAAGGTTGAGCATGGCTGCGTTAGACCCTTCAATGTATAAATCCCAGAATCCCCTTCAATGTATAAATGCCAGAATTTCCCAGCTCTGCTTCTGCTACTGTCCAGAAGAACGTATATATCCCTAAGCTATGTGTTCATTGTTATGGTAAGTGCTCTAAGTGCAGAGTCTCTCTATTAAACATTCATGTAATATAGTAAGCTCCTAGTTGAAATGGTTTTTAAAACATTTACAAGTCTTAATAAATATTTTAAATACAGTTGCAATACCAAACAGCTACATTACATCTGTTGCATGCTGAGGTACACTTAAAATCCCTTTCAGTTTCTGTGTGAGAGAACATGGGCAGTCCCAAATGCAGGTGAATCCCTTCATTACATTGGGGAACAAATCTAGGTACAGGATGGTCAACCAAGGAGAAGGGCAGCTCTTTTTGTGCATGGCAGAGCACATCTCCCGTGTAGTTTTTGCATGGGCGTAACTGTGTGCAGAGGGGAGAGCTCCCCAGGATCATAGTGCAGGAAGGTGAAGGAACCCTGTCCAGGCTGCTATAGAGCCAATGAGTAGGGTGCAGAATTTTATTTCCTCTGTCCATAGCCTGCTTATACAGGCTTCATGCAGGCCCTTATTTGTCTCTTATTAATGATCTAAAAAAATCAGCAATACTTCACTTTAATCCGGTTGGCTCTACCCCTACCCTTTACCCTCACAGACACAGTATACAGACTGGATACTGTGAGAGCGCAGGCGCTGATGCTACTTGGCATGCTGGTTTCTTAAAAGTGATTGTATGCATTTGTTTAAGAGACCTGTGAATCTGCTTTCTGCGGAAGGTGCTCAAAACAAAGATAATTTTTAACACACAACCGGACAGTGGCTACCTTGAATCATCCCAAGTGGAAGTGTTCCTTCACACTATACTAGTGGCCTACAGGTTTTACACGCTTATTTCTAAGACCTTGCTACCCTCTGTTCCAGAACAGATTTCCCATTCAGACTATTAGTTGTACTGTAGCACCCAAAGGCCTCAATGAACTAGGCACTCTAGGTAGATGTAGTGAAAAAACAATCCATCCAGAGTGAAAGAGGAGAAAACTATAGCAGAGACATGACGGGATTCTGTTTCCTGCGGTCACAGAGGTCAGTAATACAACCTAGGCCTTCCATTCCCCATTCAAAGCCCTCACCACTAGAACACACTGCCTCATGATTAGGTGTAAATAAAATGAACTTTTACACCTTTAGATCATCTGAAGTCACAGCATGGACCTAAAGTGGGCACACCTAAAAGGTTAACTCCTGTTATGAAGATGCTGCAAGTTTCAGGGCTGTTCTCTGGATGTTAACACATGTGATGTCTGGGACTTCTCTAGAACTGGAAATATTTTCATACGTGTGAATCTAAAGTACAGTGGCTGCATCCAACTGAGCTTGAAGTAGAAGTTAACACACCTGTTGCAGAGCATCTGAACTCTATCCACTCAAGTCTCATGCTTACAGCCTTGGTGTCCAATGCCCCGATTATTAATTATTCTCTTGCACAGAATATCTCTGTACCTTGTAAGACATCCAAATTTGACACCACTACATCTAGGACATGTATGCTCTCTTACAACTGCAGTTAACTGGGTCGTGGATTTGGCAGATCTTAGTTTCTGGAATATCTGTGCAGAGTGGTATTGGAGCCTGACTCCCACGCACACTGAACTAGAAGGATGGCTTGGTCTTGACAAGCACTGGAAAGAACTCCTAGTGCTCAAACACAGCAATTCCTGATTTTAAATAGTCTCCCTAGCCCTCCCTCCCTCCCTGCTGTAAGCATAGGCAGTTGAGGTATAACTTTCTGAATGTGTATGAATAGCTGCTACTCAAAATAGTACTTGGAGAGCAAGCTGGTAAAAAGACATCACTCTCAGAACACCAGTGCAGCTAAAGAGCCCAGTGAGCTTCTATTACTAACATGTTATTATGTTACATAATATGTTATATGTTATGTTATTAGAAAATACTGTCCTACTTGCTGTAGTTCTAAAACAGATCCCTTTTCTACCTGTTTCAAGTGGCATGCTCAGTTTTCATAGCATTTTCCTTATAACAAGGAACTTAAAAAAATCAATTTCAAAGTTCTCATACATGCATATGCAGACATACATTTTCAGATATCCTTACATGCAGGTAAGCTGGTGCTGTGTTTAGGAACACAGGGCTGAAGTGACCTCCAGTCTTCTCCATCTGCAGACAACCACTTTCTCCAGAAGATTCAAATCTTCACATACAATCACAAGGCAGAAAACCAGATGCACTAAGAAAACCCTTCCACATGCCATGGGTAAAAGAAGGAGAGATGATGGTATCCCCCTCAGAAGCCCGTGGCATTTATGAAAAGAAAATATTCTTTTCTGGCCTGTTCAGGTGATCAGTAAAACCCTGAAACATAAGATTACCAGAGACCTACCACAATGTAAGACAGTTAGCTCTAGATCCCACCATGAGGATTAAAAACAGTTCCACATCTCTCTCAAACTGTTGAAACCAGGCTTTGATCCTGAAAGCTCTTCTTGTGGGAAGCAGAGAGGGTCCTATATTTTAGTACTGGCAATTCAACTAAACACTTTTCAAAGTAGAAACAAATGAATACCTCTACAGCAAACCAGTAAAGAGATCTTCAAGCTGTTAATACACTTAACTCAAAATATATAGAAATAGTACTACAGTAGTATAAAAAAAAAGCAGCAGTATAGGACAGAAACAGATATGACCAAATCAGATATCACAAATAAGAAAAAACAAGCCCATAATCAGGCTGACAAAGGGAAATTGTTGTTCTAGTTAAGTTAAAGCTACAAATCCAACTCAAACAACAAGACAGGAAAGCATGAAATGGTCATGCCTAAATGTTTCCAAAATGAATACTAGCACTGTAAGGTAAAGCATATTAATTAAATCATTGAGAAACATGTAAAAGCGGAAACCTCAATAATAACTTACTTTCAGAAAGTATTCAGTTGTAGTTTTTTCAAACCAAATATTTTCTCTTTACTTACCAACATGATCAGAAGGTTCATATTCTACAAAACTCCAAGAGATACTCGATACAAGACAGTGTATCTATCCCTCCTCCATTTTATCAATAGCAATCCTTGAAACTTGAGCAAAGGTGTGACCCCCAGGAGTCATTAAGGAAACAGCTGCGTTTCCCTAGCCTGGCCTGATTAGGCTGACAAAGGGCAGCTGCGCTGACACAGTCAACAGAAATAAGCAGATCCTGAGAACCTGATCACTGGATCAGAAGGCTCCTTTAAATTAAACAAAACCAAAGCAAAAAAGCATATATAGACCAGACAAACATTTTCTCATTTTAATTTGATTGTATTGGTTAAACAGCCTGAGAATTATGCATGGCTGTGTAATGTGCTGCTTTCTTTCAGTAGCTTAAAAATCTGATTATGTGCAAAGCCTGCAGGAAAGCAGTATGAAAAGATTTTCCCTTTTTTAATGTTTCCCTTTGCAAAAATCAACTGAGGTGTGAAAAATAAGAGTTTTCTTTTAAGGCTACATGCTATTTTGGCTTAGTATAATACTGAAGGTTCTCCAGGATTCTGTGGTCAACCATGAGACTGTCAAACCCAGGATGCAGACAAAGAGTTAAAGCACTTCAAAATTATAGCACTTCATAGCTGATCCATTGTAACTGTTTTATCTGCTTGCTCTCTATTGCCTTCTAAGTGGGAGTTAAACTTCTGTAACCTAAAGCTGGTTTCATTCAGATTTAAAGTGACACTGAGCTCCACTGTACCTGTACTGGAGTAGACAGAGGAAACAGCCAATACCTGTTCCCTGTAATCATTCAGCTAATACCTGTTCCCAGGTGCATCTACATAAGACATTTACTGCACAGTAGACTAATTAGCTCCACAGGAAACATCTCAGTGCCTATACAGGCAGGGCTATTAGGTTGGAGTAAACTAATACACTTTGCAGCAGGGTAGTACTTGTAAATCCAAGTACTATCCTGCTGAGGAGCTTTTCACTCTGCAGCAGCATACGTGTAGATGCTGACACAGCTGGCTAGGGCATGAGGATGCTTCAGTGTGGGGGCTGCCTGCCAGCTAGCCCCACACTGGAGCACCCTTGTGCTCTAGCCAGCTCCTCTGCAGCACATAGAGCCAAGTAAGAGCAGCTGGCAGGAGGGCCCCTGCCAGCCAGGGCTGTGCACCCTGGCTCAATATGCTGCGGACTTAAGCACCAGTGTAGATGCAGGTCCCGGAAACAATAACCTGCAGTGTGATAAGCACTGGAGTTTATTACGTAGCACTAATATGCATGTGTAGACATGTGGTTCCCCCCGCCCCCAAGTAATAAGTACCTCTCCTCACATATAAAATGGCTTGATGTTGTTTTTCTATGGCCTAGTAGCAACACTTTTCTCCTACCAACCCAGAAAGCCTTGCAGGATCTACCAAGAGCAAAACAGTGGCCAGCAGAATGCAGGAGGAAAAAGAAGCGGTACACAGGATGATAGGGAAATGTTGTTTGCAAGCCAAGAGTCAAGAGTTAGAGAAAAGGGAAGAGAGAAACATATGAGTTAAGTGATATGACTGAACGTCAGGGACAGTGATGGGGTAAATAACAGGAAGGGAAAAGAACTATTTAAGTTAAAGGACAATGTTGGCATAAGAACAAGCATGTACAAATAAATACAGGGCAGAAAGAAGAAGTTTACTGATCACCAGAGTAATCAAGTGCTGGAACAGTCCTCCAAAAAGAGAGAGAGAGGAAGCAAACCCCTCCCCGCCCCTCCCAAACTATTTTTAGATAGATAGAGCCTGATTAGTTTACGAGTGGACTTATATGATATGGCTGCCTTCCAGCACTCTGTAGACTGGACATGATGACCCATCAGGAGGTAACCTTTCAGTCCTATGTTACTAGCTTATGAGAAGGAGAGGACTTTGTTACATTGCCCCTGCCAGGATCTTTTTGTGTTTTTATCCAAATCTTTAACAAAAGAGGTGTTCGTTATTGGGCTGTGGTTAAAATAATATAGGAAAATACTACAATTGTTAATATGTGTGCACACATTCAAATGACCTAGGAGAATTATCTTGGATTTGTTCTCCTGGTAGAAAAACTTACCTGAAGAAGTCTGAGCAGACAATCAAATAAGGAGTCTCTGAAGAACAGAGAACTTGCAATGCTATTGCTGCACAACCAGGAAACCTTGTGCATTAATCTTAGCATGCTCTGTGGGCTCAATCTGCCTGGCAACAAATGACAGTGGTGCACAGAGTGGTCTGATTGGCTGACCCAGACTGCTCAGTGTCAGCTTCTGTCTCCTTGAAGCACAATATGGGATTGTGAAGGGGCATATTCTGCTTCTAGCTGGGATGGAGTTGTAGGGTACGTCCAGATGTGCGTGGATGTTTGGTTCCCTGGGGACAAGGAGCAGTGCTGCACCTTGCACCACTGCTTCTTGTCCCTGGGGAACGCCTGTGCCACACGCGCTTTGGCGTGCAGCAAGTTGCCCTGTGTCACACTGTGCTGGCCCCAGCAGCCTTACCTAGAGTCCTGGAGGCTGCCCGGAACTGCAGCCATGGTGATCCTTCTGGGCGGAGCCTGGCCAGCAGCTGCAGCATAGCTTGGAGCTGCCCAACTCTGCTTTTTAGCAGCGTGTGCTGCCCAAGGGTATGCTGCTTCAGGGGTTTTTTTCCATGTTTTTTTTTTTCTCTTCCCCCTGGGGGAAAAAAAAAAAAAAAAATGGGGGAAAAAAAAACAGAGCAGCACCTGGTCAGGCAGCATGTCCTTGCAGCACAGAGAACTCCGGACTGTGTGGCATCTGGTGCTGCAAACGTGTTTGCAGTGTCACATACCACACGGCCATGCTCGTCTGGATGTGCCTGTAGAGTCCAGCCCCAGGAAGCCACTGTCTTGCAAGGGAAGTGGAAATCACTGTAAATTAATGAAAGATCCTGTGGATCCTGAAAACTCCTAGTGCCTCCTTTTATGCTGCCTGCATACTGAGCAGTAATTTTCCTGTAAAGCTGAGAGAATAAAGGCCTACACAACCATATAACTTCCCCACTTTCATTGCCTTTCTTCTTTCTCAACCTTTGTATATCTCTTTCCTAAACTCTCAGTTCTTTACTAATTTTCTCTCTTCAACTACCCCTCAAGTCACACCCTTCATTTTCCGTTGAGTCGCTCTCTCTAAAGTTCTTATTCTCTATTCCTTGTCCCTAAATGTTTATTCACACTTCCCTGCATCTCCATTTCCTCTTCCACCCACTCTATTCTCTCTGACTTCCTCATCTGTAAGCACTGTATTGAGTTCCACCTTAGATTCCCCATGTCTTTTCTCTGTATTCGCTATCTCACTGAAGCTGTGAAGTCTTCATTGCTCTCTGCATCAGCTCATAAATTCCTGAAACAGACCTTCTGCTCCCCAGAGATACTGATTTTTTTAACCTTTACAATTAGCTCTAGCCTCTCTGCTCAGTATAGACAGTTTTCCTGTCTTTCTCAGATTTCCTTCACACTTCTGTTCTCCTTCAAGTTCTCTTTAATCTCTGCTTCCATAGCTACATTTTCCAAATTCCACATACAGAATACATCCTATGTACTGCTTCCTCCCCATCCCTGAGATCCAGTTATTTGCCTACCTGTCTTGTCTTTCTCTGTAGATTGTGGGCTCTACTGGGCAGAGATCATAACTTCTTGTTTATCTGGAAAGCACTTTTCGTGTCCTTGTCATAAACTAAATGTTTTTCCAGAATTATGCACAAGCCATGGCTCTTTCTGTTGCTGTAGCAAGATCCTCCTCACCAACGAGTCGGCAAACAAGCATGTACTCCATAGTCTGCACTTCACTGCATTCACATGTATTCATCTAATTAGAGTAGCCCCATTTGATCACGTTTGTTTTTGATTTTCCAGTTTGCATGTGCAGGTGATTCAGGTATTGCCATGTTGGCTAATCTTGATTGCCCTTCTTGGGAGATCCTCCTGGGGTCCCAGGTCCATTTCAGAGCACCTGATTTTATGTAATCTTTCCTTCTATAACCTCAGTTGCACTGTCAGCTGTCGTGTCCAACTGTGCAACCCTAGTCACAAAACTCTTGCATTTTAAGCTATTTAGTTACTTCTGGGTGACCATAGAATGGATGCCTGAGGTCTTCCATCTGCCATGATCTTTCTTTTTGACTCGCTACCTTTCCTCTGATATCAGGTGGTGCAATGCCAGTCAGTAAGTACAGGCTATCCTTCGGTGTTGGCTTTAGACATCCTGTTGTTTCATGACATCTGTTGTTTACAACTGGGTCTAGTCTCTTGGCATGAGCTGATTGTTCTCATACTGGACATGCATAGTCTGCAGTGGAGTAACACAAGGCGATAGCAGTGGTTCATAATGTAGCTCGGTTAGCTCCCCACTTTGAGGTGACCAACTTTTGAAGTATGTTGTTGTGGGCACGGGCTTTCCCTTTCATCTTCTCTACATGTGCTTTGAAGGGAAGTGAAGGGAAGTAAGCACTGAACATTTTTAGCTGAACTGACCACGAACAAATAATAAAGGCCACAATACAAACATGCATGACATAAGCATGGGTTACTCAAGTCTGTCAATAAAATTGAAAATTGTTTTTAAATTAAAGAGTTTTTCTGTTACTTTATTTAAAAAAACACTTTGAAATTCAGTAATCCCCCAAAATAAAAAAGTTTGCCATGACCATTTAGTTCTACTTGGATCAAATATTGTTATTGTTTCTAGATCTAGGTCCTAGAATAAGAACAGTCTATTTTAAAATATTAAAGCAAAAGCTGAGTTAAGCTCATTTGTAAGCAATTTAATATGAATGTTTCCAACATATTGCATACAAGAAACTATTTTAAATAACATTAATATAAACTAACAAAAGCTAAGTCACCTAAAGTCAAAGTGATATTTCATCTTTATTTCACATAATTAGAAGACACAACAGTATGTATGATCTTTTCCAATCAAGTAGATATTCATAATTTTAAGGAAAAACTTATGTAATTTTTTTATTTTTTAAAAACAAGGATGTCAAAAGACAGGCACCTAAATGCATTTTTAGGCATCAGAGTCACTAACTTAATCTTCAAAATTGCAAACACCCTGAATTTCCATGAACATGCAAGTGCTCTAAGAAGGGTGACTGCTTTTAAGAGTCTTAAAGCCCAACCCTATAAACACTTATTTATATGCATAAGTTCATACATTTGAGTAGTCCCATTACTGTCAATGGGAAAACTCATATGCAGAACATCCTCTACAATAAATGTTGTCAGGGCAGGGCTATTGAATTTAGGTGACTAATTTTAGGTCTCCAATTTTAAAATGTTTAGCTAGAGCATGTTTTATAATTAACCAGATTTTTTTGTAGAATTGTGTAAGTGACAGAATCAGTTCTGTCCCTGAACTATAGTCAGGTTTTTATATAAGTATTTACCCAGTTTAATGCATGTACCTTTCAATGTACCAATTAGAGTAATCACTTGACAAACTTAATATTTCAAATAATGAGGTATGCAAATATTTAAAAAATCATTCTGCCCAGTAATTTCTCTTTCTCTGGGACATATTATGCCAAGAGTTTTTAAGCAGAAATATCAAATGACAACAACAGAGAGTTTTGCTTAAAAGCAGATGACAAAATCTGGCCCCATATTTTTAAAAGATTTTATGTAATTTTAAAAAATTCATATTGCTTAAAAAAATTGAGATGCAACATAATCTCATAAACCTCCAAGTTTCAATTCAGGCAAATACTTTAAACTGAATTAACCTATATAAGTAGATTATTTTAATGGAAGTATTGACAACCCTAAAGTATATCAAATGTCAATGTCAAGACACTATCAATAATATTGATATTAGAAACTTCTTTTCCATTGACAAATACAAACACATTTTTCAGCCAAAAAGAAACTTTGTTTTTCTATCTTATATCCAGTAATACAGATCAGGTCCATATCATGCTATTTGTTTTTGGTTATGTGTTTAGGCTAATAAGTTACGTGGCCAAAAGAAACTGAGAATGGCCCAATCTTGCAAACATTTTCATAGGTGTTTAATATGAAATATGCAAGTCATCCCATCGATGTACATGAAATCATCTAAGCATGTGACTACCCATTTCAGGATCAGGGCCAATGTTGAATAATCAACAAAAATCATTATTCCTCATGTACAGCTTGCAGCAACTGGAGAAATTCACTCTAAAAATAGCAGTTAGGAACATATCATCAGGTGGTATCTGTGTCTGTGAATGATTTTGGATCAGTGAACTTCTTTGGATTGTGATTTGAAATATGTACCCAATTTATGAGGGGAGAAAGACAGGCCAAGCCACTGACCTGCTGTTGATCCCCTTCATTAGTAAGTGGGCAATCAAAGAACTTCTACTTTACATTATATGAAATGAATTATTTTTTTCTTTTCTTTTTTTAAAGGTGTTCTCTTAATACAAAAAAATTGGCAGAAGATTGTTTGCCATGTCTTTTTATCTGGTTATATGTTTTCAACTAGCAGCACTTTTGGTGTGAAAATCTGAAGTACCTTTCTGATTCTTGTTCCTCTTAGTAGTTTAAAAAAAACACAAGACAAAACAGACCCCAAAATCTCATCATTTAAGGCCATTTAATATCTGTACTGACTTAAAATACTCATATTAAACGGACCAATTGTGGTGGCATTCACTGAAGTGGAATGGTAAACAGTTATCTCCTATTTTTCCTCCCAATCTAGTAGGAAAATTAGCATGTCCATATGTATAATTAATCTCCAACATCCCCATCCTTATCACCAATTTGCCATAGGAAGTGAAAACTTATGGCTAATAAGGCTGTTCCAAGTAGATCTCCCAATGCAGTAAGGTAAGGAATAGAAAAACTGTCGGGATCTTTTCCTTTTTTCCAGAAATGGTGCACCATCCAGTCAGCAATCCATAACAGGGTGAATACCTGTGATATAACATTAAAGATTAAAATTATTAAAGGATATTAGATACAATATATTTTGTATTATTAAAGTATACTAAATAAAGAATAAGAGCCAACAGAATTACTTATAATAGTACTTAGCACTATGGAATATACATTTTTCAAAAAGTAATATGTCCATAAATAGATTAATTCCTGATGGAAAAAGGAAGGTACAGAGAGAGAGAGAGAGAGAGGGACGGAGAGAGAAAATCAGCTGAAGTATCACAAAAAGTTGGCCATTGGTGGTAATGTCACTACTTTGCCAATGTTTTGTTTGATGAAGTCTAATTAAAAATGCATGTACACTTATTGTATGGAACTGCATTCTAGGTTTTTTACAGCATATGTGGTATTTTCAGAAGTGCGCAACACTGATCTAACTCCTGTCCAGTGAAAGAAGCACTTGGAATTGGCTTAACTGTTCTTATGGTCTTCAACCCAAGTCAGCTCAATGTGGATGTGAAACCAGTGGCGCAACTGGGGGAAGGGCAATAGGGGCAACTGCCCCAGGCGCTGACTTGGTAGGGGGTGAAAAAGAAATGGCTACTGTTGGCTGTCATTATGTTTGTGATTGCTGCGGCAGCTGCAAATTTCTGCTTCTACTTTGCCCCAGGTGCCCAGCTGCATCCCTGCACTGCTGTGTCAAGCTATGTACTGTTGATCCTTACAACATAAATATCACACTTACAGACATGACTTAAGAAGCGCTGAGCATCTGATAAGCTCACTGAACTGTAGTAGGAGTTTTGAATATTCAGCATGTTAAAGTTACACCATTTATATCATTAGAGCTGACAATGGCTAAGGGTATGTTGAGATGGCATGGTCAGTGGTTATTAAAGGGTGCTAGCATGGGGTACAAGATGCCCAAAAACGCCTATTTCCAGAAGTTCAAAATGACATTCTAGAAGGAAAGAGAACTGCAAAGTCACAATTGTCTCATTGGTGTTAGTAATCAAAAATGTTCCCAGTTTCTGTCCCTTTTTTCTCAACATCCTAACAGTTTGTCCTACAGTGCAGCAATATTTTCAATAAAAAATTTTGAGAAACACTGAAAACCAAACCTTGGAGAGCTGGTTAATGATAAAATTACTGAATGCTACAATGGATGCTGGCCTGACATTTAGAGAGCAAATGGCAAGGCTGGGCTGAAGGCAGAACTGCTATATAAATCTAGATCTAATGTGAAATTCAAGAGCATTGGTCAGATCCATGGTTCTCAACCTTTTTAAACTCAAGGCATGCCATGGACAATGCCAGATTTCAGTTTCAACTGGGTTTTTTTTTTTACTACAGAATAATGATAGAGTAATTTTTCTGCTGAGAACTCAGAAAGAGCATGACAGATCATAATGCACTTAATGCTGTGACCTCCTATGTGAAATCTCTGGGCTTATCTTGTGACTCGTGTTTGCACACCACAGCACCCTGGTTGAGAATCAGCGTGTTAGATCAAGGGCATTGTCATCCAGATACGAAGAAACAAGAAGAATGAATGTATGTGGTATGAAGTACCAATTTTAACCCTGGTGTAATTGGGTTCAATTTTGTGGGTTGTAGGAAAGCTGTACTCTTACACCAGGTTTAAATTATTTTATCCCAAACATTATGTTAAAAAAATGTCACTCTCATCTGCAAATGAGTTAACACCTAAAAGAGGCAATCTTAATATGTACTGATCATTAATCCAGTTCAAAGAGGGATTTATTATTTAATATTCTAACACTGAATGAATTTCAGGCTCACTGGCATGACATGGCATAAGAGAAGTGGAGGAAAGCATATGGATTTGAGTCTCTATTTCCTTTTGTCGTGTCAGAGGGAGCTGCTTGGACTGAAATAAGCATTCATAAAATCTGACTTTTTAGCTATTTAGACCTTTAGGAAATATGATTTATCAGTTTGGTCAGGTACAAAAAAATCTATTATATATGTTGAAAAATTCTGTGTAGCACAAAAAAGATAAGTTATATAATTCATTTTATTTTACTGAATATATATAGTTTTTAAATTAGAACCAAAAGCATATAAAATGTATCCTGCCAGTTGCTGGCATATTGACTCAAGGCTCTCAAGAACTTTTAATGAAATTATCTACATTAAAAATATAGAAAATATCACAATACTGAATATAAATGACTAGATGTTATAAAATAATTATCTCTAAAACAAAAATTAAATTTCTTGTAACAAATAATTAAATTCATGCTTTGCTCTACAAAAGCATATTTTAAAATTATAAACCTGTTAAGTTCTTTTTTTTTCAAATGACCAAATATTCCCCTGTTCTTTCTTTATGAAATATGCATAACTTATTTATATAAACATGTCTTCTGAAAAGGCAACTCTGTAGTCTAAGCTAATTATGCATGTGCTAGATGCGCTGACTGGAATCCAAACAAGTATATTGAAAGTAGATGTTTTCTTTGGAAGACTATCTCAGATTCTTTGAGTCAGCTCCTTCTTCTATCACAGACAAAAACGGTCTGTATAGAGATAGGCATTAACATCCCTTTACAGGTCCTACACAGAAGACTCCATAACTTAAAAACCAGCGATAGTTATATGTATTCAGGAACTCTTCTGAAATCAGTTTTTACTGTATTCAAAAATACAGTGCACAATGTACTTCTCTAATTTAAAGAGCCAAGAACACCAAATTGGCTCTGTCAGTGGCTGCAGACGTTTTAGACCAAAAGACTGCTGTCAGTCCTTTACATTTCTCATGGACCATAACGCATCCATATCAAACTTTTAACTGAAAAAGAGTTGAGGGTCTTGATGAAATCTAAAGACAGTTCAGCATGATAGGCCATCAACAATCTGTAAAACACAGTTTGGGAACCACTGGTCAATACATTTCCTATTGTAAAATACCTGGGCAATTTAAACTTGGGGAGAAAAGCAGTGCAAATAATCTGGGAATTAAGGTCTTTGAATGGACCTGAATAATTGCTCTTGGAGGAATTAAGTCGTGTGGGCACAATACAGTACAGTCGCGTCATACGCGCATTTAACTTGTGCAAATTCAACTTTACATGGGGTAGGGGGGGCGGGGCTTCAGTTTGCGGCTGCGGCAGTAGGTTTTGGCAGCGTGGTGGTGGCTCAGCAGCACGCAGCCATCCCTCCCACCACTCCACGCTACACTGCTGCCCCCGGCTGCACAGCTCCAAGCACGGCCCTGTGGCGGTGGCGAGAGGTTTTGGAAGCAGAGGCAGTCACCGCTAGTCAAATCGCTGGTGATTTGACTATGCACGATTTTTGCCTTACGCGATGACCTCAGAACCTATCCCCTGGGTAAGTTGCAACACGCCAGTATATAACCCAGCAATGAAAACAGCATTGCACAACTTGCTATACTTCACTTGTGATGAACTATGAATTGCAGCTTGCTCTGCTGTTGAATGACTCGTCAGCTGTATGATGGCACTTGCCATAGAGCAGGGGTCAACTTTTTGGATCAGTGTTCCCCTGGCAGCTGGGTGTGGATCAGTATACCCCCAACGGCAGGATGTGGAGTGGGGTGGCGAGGAGTTGGAAGAGAAGGAAGAGTTGTGCTTTATGTAAAAGAGTCATATGATTGCTCAGAGCTCCAGTATGAAACTGGAGATAGGCCTGTTGAAAGTCTCTGGGTTAGGATCAGAGGGGAGAACAACAAGGATGATGTTGTGGTTGGGGTCTGCTATAGACAACCAAACCAGGAGGATGTGGTTCATAGATACATAGATTGTGAGGGGCTGGCAGGGACCTCACAAGATCATCGGGTCCAGTTCCCCTGCACTAGACAGGAAAGACAACTGGGGTCAGGTGACCCCAGTGAGACTGTCCAGTCTCCTCTTGAAGATTTCCACCACCTCTGGAGGGAGTTTATTCTGCAGTCTGGAAACCCAAACTGTGAATACGTTTTTCCTAGTATTAAGCCTGAAACAGTCTTCCAGGAGTTTGTGACTGTCACAGGGAGAGACAAACAGGGGAGACCCCAAAGCCCAAGGGGGAAACCCTGGAGCCAGGAAACAGGGGAGAAGCAGGGAAAACAAAAGTAAAAAAAGAAAACTTACCCGCAGGAGGACTTGAGGCAAAACAGGAGCGACGGAGAAAACCCGCGCAGGTTATTAGCTGCGCCTTCATTCAGCTGCGGCCGGCGGGTGACGTCAGCAGCGATTACCGGCCGACGGAAACAAAAAGGACGGCACACGGAAAGGCAGGGGGACAGATACTGGGTGGAGCCCCAGCCGGCAGAGTCAGCCGAAAGGACGGGACGGAGCGAGAGGCAAGGATCACAAGTAGAGGAGCAGCAGACGCCTCAGGCAGCAAGGGAGAGGTCGGCAGCAGCGGTAAAGACAAACCGGCACTAGGAACAGGAGCTCCAGTGACGGGCAAGGCAGAGAATAAGGAAGGTACCTGGAAAAGCCCCAGGACCAATAGTTTCCATGGAAAAGGAGGAAACGCTGATCCTCCTTACAACATCCAAACAGGTGGGAGGGTGGAGGGGCTCAGAGCGCAGGGAGAAACGCCGCAAGGGGAGGAGCAGTTTCGGGAAGAACCAGAGAGAGGGTAGCAATACTGGGAAGACCCGGAGAGAGGGCAGCAATATTGGGAAGACCCGGAGAGAGGGCTACGAAGCTGTGAAATCCCAGAGAGAGGGCTGCAGGATTGAGAAGACCCAGAGAGAGGGTCACAACATTTTTGGCGGCTGCAAGGGAGAGCAGCTGTAGCCAGGGTGGTAGGGACCAAGCCGCAGGGCTAGGTGATCTAGAGAGGCCCCTACCGGGAGAATAGGAGTGCAGAGGGGCTATTGGGGGTCCACAAGGAGGCACGGTGTTGGTAGTGGTTTTCTTGTGTTTATTGGTTCTTTTCTTTGGCTAGAGAGAGTATTTTGTGTTTCCCCGCGCCGGAAGGGGTTGAGGGAAGGTGAAAACAAGGAAAGCGGAAGACGAGCCGAGCACTCGTTGTTTGAGCGGGGATCATGGAGTACGAGA